TCGTCATCAAGACCACGGAGGCCGGTCACAATATAGCAAATGCTACCGACATCGTCAGGGAGCAGCGCATCAAAGCGAAAAATGATGATCCACAGTCACTCAACTCCAAGAAGCGACGCCTCGTCAAAAGACACCTTGTTGACGAGGACGACTTGCATATCTTCGCCGATTGTCAACCCTTCATTAATATAAGCCGAGCTGAATCTTTAAGTGCAGGAGCCGATCTTTTCGATTCCCGGGTAGAAGTCGCAGCATCTGGCTCAACTGCGCAAGCACAGCCTTCTCCCAGCCACTCGATAGCCTCCCAACAGGCTATTGTTTCAAAACAGCGGGATTCACCCACCTCTCTGGTTCCCTCCGAACCAGTCGAGCGAATTAGTGGCCAACAGCCCGAGGTCACCACCACTTCCTTGAGCACATCGAGTCTAGGTGTCACACTCCCTACATTTTCTAATTTTTCTAGGACACCTACACTATTCACCGCACATACAGGTGCACGCACCCTGGAAGCAACGACCAGAGTACCAACGATGACGGTCGGAAGCCCTGCTACGCCCACAATCACTCTCTTCACTGATGCTGTGACAACAGTTACAACCCATGTAACTGAACACCTCACTGCCGAAGACATCACCGTTCTTATGCACCGTTTCTTGGATTCCACCATTAAGCCATGGGTGCAACAAGCATTTACCGCTTGGGCACAAGAATCCAAGACCACCCCGGCAGTGCATAGTGAACACAGCCAGCCTGAACCACACCCATCACCTTCTCACTCCAAATCTCAAACCTCTCCAGTCATCTCCGCCACCTCCACCAAAGTCCATAGCCCTATCTCTTCTCGGGGAACCCATGATACAGAACAAGTATCATCCCCACACCCGACCACACCTCCCATCGAACTACTATCCCAACCCTTCGAAGTCCTGGCATCGATCATGCTGGATCATCTCCTAAACATACCCCACACTGACCTCACTCCCTACCAGCAAGGCGTCCTTACTGCCCTTCTCGCTGATCCGGACACCAAGGGCACCTGCCGTGAAAGTCCCCGTGGTCGCAAACGTTCACATGAGGATCCCGATGATCCGGAACCTCATGAGGGGGAGAACAAGAGGCCACGGATACTCGAGCAAGGTGCCTCTACCACTCATAGCCCCCAAACCGAACAACCTGAGACTTCCATCAACCAACCACCACCCTCCCCTTGCCAAAACCAAGCCTATCTCTCTAGCGTGGTCGAGCTAGACAAAACATCTCGAGGCGTATCTCCCAGAGATACTGTTCGAGGAGGGGATGGAAGTCCTGATGATGCTACCACTGGTACATCCTTCACATCAGGCCATCAGTTGGAACCTAGTTCTAAGCTGATGTCAACGGGCAATCCAAGTGAACCCGGTTGTGCTACCAAGGAACAATCACCGCCTCAAAAGCAGCAAAGAGTTCCATACATCCCCCCAGGCAAAGACATCCATGATGCACTGGAGGAGGCGGTGATATACGACAAATGGCCGAGACAATGGACAGAATGAGATGATCTTCGGAATGAGGCTGAACAAGAGGACATGCAAAGAAACTGGTGGCTACGAGAGATTATTAACAAATGCTCTGAAGATATCATTAGGCTCGAGGACGATGAACGCAAGGAAGGGGAGAACTACAAGGAATCCCAGAAAACTCTTGAATCGGTCGTAAGACAATCAGCGGGAAGACTTCCCAAGACAGAGAAACCCTGGGATAACGTTCGCATCAAAGCCCCCTTCCAAGAAGAAATCAGAGAGCATATCTGGCGTAGACCAGACAGAGTCAAACCGCTGAATGAACTAAAGCTAAGAGGCCTTACTCATTTAAAAGGAAAGCAGGCTGGAGGTTATCTGCATATGCTACTACAAAGGTCAACCGGTACACAGAGAGAACTGATGGAACAAGATCTGAAGTCAAATATTCTCCAGATTCATCAAATTCTACAAGTGAAGGCTGAAGATTATCATGGAATGACATTCTACACTTAAAGACTTCAACGCACTGACGGGAGCGAATTTACTTGCCAAGAGAACGATTTCATCATGCTGAAACCGGACGACATCTATCAAATGTTCATGGCCTATAGATACCTTCCAGTCAGGTAGAGCATAACATACAACGAAGGTCTCGCAGCTATCAAGAGATTCATGCTTAGACAGATCCGAGTACACTCTTCACATGACCTACAGATGGCTATTGAGTGCAATCTGAAAAAGACAAATCTGACAAAGCCAAGACTGTATGGTCCAGAACTTGAAGACTTCCCAGCCTACCACATCTTCTTCACACCGCTAGCAGTCACCTATCTGAACTACAAGAACGAAAAACGTCTGATGGTAGTTAGTGAAATTGAAAAGTACTGTGACGGAACGCTGAAGATAATAAAAGAATAGCTTCTAAAGATGAAGGCAGAGCTAGAGGAAAATCTTCAAGAGGCATCGTCTTATGTTCAAAAGGAACACTCTACAGTAGAGACAATTTTAAAGGCCATTGATGATCGCCTCGAAAAGAGAAATACGCTGAGGCAATATGAACATGCACTTGGTATGAGGAAGCACTACTTCAAGTCGCAGAAGCAATAAGAGAATGACACTTGATCACAAAGGGGGAGATTGTTGGAGATATTTAATTGTGAATCAAGTTTGTCATAGATTAGCTTTATATTTAATCCTTGTATTTAATTAGTGCATGAATTAGATAGCAATCAGGCCAAGTGTTAGGCCCATATAAACAGGTTAAAAGCCTTGTACGCCTAACCTAAACCTCGCCTATAAAAAGGGAGCCGAGGGTTTAGGAATAGGTTAACGTCGTACTTATTCTTCATAGCCTTACGCGCATATTCTTGTGTTGTACGAGTTCACGGTCTATCAAAGAGGGTTTTACGTTGATTCATTCTGTGTTCATCCTTACGTTTAATCTTCGTTGTTAGATCGTTATTCATTGCTGTTACAGAAACAGGGACTAACACTATGTATAGATAGAATTGTAAAACAGTTTGGACAAAGATTTGAGCTAATTAGTATGCCAATATGTATATTTAAATTTTTGATTGAATACGAAGGGACACATATGAAAATAACCGATGATGAAGGGATGTGGTGGCTGGGAACAATCAAATTCCTAAAAATGGACTGATTATTCAAAGCTTATTTAGGATTTACCTCAAATCCATCCGATTCACGCGAGCGAGCAACAACGGGGTCAAAATCCACCAAAGAGATCGATAGAATCCGAAGAAAACCGAGTCAGATTAAGCCTCCCAAAAGGAATTACACTGTTATGGAGGTGAGGTCTGTGGAAGAGATCGGGTCGCAACAAGGGAGAGGTAAGCGACGATGATTTTAGAGGCCAGTGGAGAGAAAAAGAAGAAGACAGTTTAGGCCTTAGGGGTATATACTGATTTAATTATGATGGAGACTATTTCTGAAATAAAAAGAGTAGAGTTGAAAAGGAGAAAGATTACGGATGATAGAATAAGGCCTTGTTTGGTTCAAAGGAGGGGAGGGAAGGGGAGAGTCAAGGAGGGAAGGGAAGGGGAAGGAAGGATTTAAAAAAAAATGTGTTTGGTTGGAGGAAATGGGAGGAAAGGTTTAATGAAAAATATTTACGCAATTTACTTTTATTTGATAGCTTACTTAAAAAAATAGATACATGTAACTATTTTGAATATTTCTCCTATGGTCATGAGTCATAATTTAATTTTATTTGAGTTTTTACCTTTTTAATTTTATATTTTTTCATTTTTTAGTTTGGAATTTTTAATTCTTTATTTTTATTTTTAAATTTTTTTTATTTTTAATTTCTAAAATTTTTAATTTATAATTTTTAATTTTTTTTAATTTTTAAAATTTTTAGTTTTTTAATTTTTAAATATTTTAATCTTTAAACTTTTAATTTTTTATATTTTTTAATTTTTCAAAACTTTTTGTTTTTTACCTTTTTATATTATAACGTTTTGTTCATTCACGTAGGAGATGGATATATAGTTTGTGGTTATCAACACGTTTCCTTCGAAATACCCCGATTTGAGGGGTTTAGAATGGACGGAAGTGGAGAATTTTGAAAGCCTTACACTTTCCTCCCCTTCCCCCCTATATTCTTCAACCAAACACACACAAATACCCCACTTTCCCTACCTCCCCTCCAAAACCCTCCATGGCTCCAACCAAACAGGGCCTAAAAGTCACGGGTCAAAAAAGATATGAAATTGTTAAAAGTGGCTCAAATGGGTAATTACCATTAATTACAATGATGAATGGAATGTTCTAGTTTCGAGTAGGGATGGACTAAAACCCTCCATGGCTCCAACCAAACAGGGCCTAAAAGTCACGGGTCAAAAAAGAAATGAAATTGTTAAAAGTGGCTCAAATGGGTAATTACCATTAATTACAATGATGAATGGAATGTTCTAGTTTCGAGTAGGGATGGACTAAACCGGGCCGACTCAGCCCGGAACCAGCCCGGAACCGGCCCCGCTCGGAACCGGCCCCGCCCGGAACCGGCGAAGTGGCAGTGGGTGGTTTGGGGGTGGGGGGGGGGGGTTAGGAGGGGGGGTGAGGGTTGGAATTAATTCGATAAAGCCTTACCAAACCAGTCTGATTCTAACCCAAGGCCGGCACCGAGCCCGAGTAATTTTAACCTGGAGCCCGCCGCAGCCCGACCCGGAGCCTGACCCGGACCTCCCCTACCCTCTACCAATGGACTACTCCTATGACCCAAGGGAACTAGGAGGCAATCAATTAATTAGAAATTTAGAATAGGGGTATTAGGAGTAGAAAAACAATGTTTACTCCTATTTAGGGAAGATTAGAATGGAACTCCTGTTTTGGAAAAAGTTGTTTGTTTTACTCTTATTAAGGGAAATTACTTCAAAAGAAATTACACTCATGTCTATATCAACAATTCAAGTAACAATTCAAGTGAAACGAGAGTTTGATATTACTAACATTCTTACCTATTACAGGAATTAACCAAATGCCCAATCATAAAAATTACATTTATTTCCACGATTGGTTAAAAGCAAGGCGAAACTGCGAAATTAATAGTTTGAGCATTGATTTCTCTATCACCAAACACTACATAGACAACTCTTATTTAAGTGCAATTCCATGTACATGTATTATTTATACATTCACAAACTAAGTAGAGCAATTCCCAAGTGCAACGCCTCTAAGAATATTTCATTTAGCATTAATTAAATTCCATGGTAGCGCTCACAAGCTACATAATTATGTATGCATGGTACTATGGTAGTAGTTTAGAAGTGGGGGTGTGTTGTAGAAGGTTCAGGACTTTCTTGTCTCTCTATTTGCACAGACCTTGACGGTGGACCAACCATGCTCAGCACCACCTGCATCAACAGAAACCCCCAAAATAAAATGATAGGTACCCAGAAATCTAGCGATGAATTGTTTAATAATAAAACTGAAATTGTATAAACTGAAAGGAAACGATACAGGCAAGTTCGAGAGCGCCTCATCTCTCCAAGTCCCAGACCTTATACCCTTATGGACCAGCCCAAAGTTAACTAGTACCTGGCCCAGGACATCTAATATACTATCACAATTATTTAATATTATTATAATATTCTTATTCTTATTATTATTATTATTATTATTTTCTTCAGCCTAGAATCCTATCACAAAACCACTGTCACTGGTTTCAAATCACATCGGATCCGGCTTTGGCGATGAGACATCCAGCCGCCAAACGCCATTGAGCGTTACAGCACTGGAAACACCACAGAGTAAGCTAGACCTGTACAAAAACGGGCTCGGGCCGGGATCGGGCCGGGCTTTTTATAAATTTTCTGCCCATGTGTGGGCGGGCCCGGCCCGGCCCGCAAAAACGGGCCTAACCCTATGTCCATAGCCGCCCATAAGAGCGGGCCGGGTAGTTCACCGAGACGCTCGGCCCGGGAATACTTTAATTTTTCAAAATTATATGATTTTTTAAATACATTAAAAATAATATTACAACATTTAGAAAATAATTAATACGCTTATAATGTTTATACGTCTTTCACCACATACAAAAAAAATACTTACACAAAAATAATAATGAGAAACTATATCTAAAATTTAAAATTTAAGCACGAAGTATTATCTTTAAGTACAAAAATAGATATTATATTGGTTGGGCTGGTTGTTAAGAACTAAAAATTTAAATTTAAACATAATAAACTATAAATATGTATAAAGAAAAATTAGTAAATATAAATATACATGTGTATATGCAAATAAATAAATAAATTAGTATATATATAAATATATATATATTTATATATACTAAATGTAGTGGGCCAGGCTTATCGGCCCGAACGGGCCTACACACTAACCCAAGCCCGCCCATATCTTATTGCGGGCCGGGCTCGGGCCGGCCCGGTGGGTAAATATATATGCCCAAGCCCACCCATTTGTGCGGGCGGGCTGGGCGGGCCGGGCGGCCCGGCCCGGTTTTGTCCGGGTCTAAGCGTAACCAAGTTCAATGGATGCAAGTACATGAATAAGTGTATTTAGTGCCAACCGGATGATGTCTAAGATTAGTTTCGCCATTATGAAATATTTGTAACATCAGTGCTTTTTTTATATTTATAAAATTAATAATATAATTATTAGAAACCATGTCAACCAAGCCCCAATTGTTGGGCAAAAAAAAGATGGTGGGTAAATAGCATCCATACTAACAGAACTGAAGGTTAAAGCTTTGGCACCGTACTGTAATTAGGAACATGTGAGGTTGCGATTGTGGGGGCATATCAAGAATTGGGAGATCAATGACTGTTAAAAAAATTATAAGGTGTCTTACGGGTAGAAAGATGAGGCCATGAAGGAAACCAAGAAGAACCAAGGCCAGGTACATTTGGAAATAGTAAACCTGCACATTTTTGAAGGGGGCTCAATTTAGGAGTACCATTTTAGAACTACAGAGCACACGAAAAAAGGCTTTACTGGAATGGTGGAGAAATCACATAAGAAAAAAACTCAGAGAGGTACCACAAAAATTTCTGAGCGTGAGAAACACAAAACCATCACTCCAACAAGCTTCGTAAGAGTGATACCACTGCAAAAGCATTGGGCATCAATAAAGAATTAATGAGAGGATATGGATCATTTTCAATAGAGGGTGGGGGTAATAACACTTATAAGCTATCGTATGGCATGCAAAACCTACACTAGTAGTTAACAAGAAGCTTACATATGGAGACAAGACAAACAAGAAGAGGAAAATGAAATCTGCAATGGATAAGGGAGAAACGGCCATACCTAAATACAGAGGCTCCCATAGAGGTCAATGCATCCGTCATGCGCTGATTCCTATCTCCCCTGCTTACCTAACATTCACCAAATTACCAGAATTCAAAACAAATTAAAACTTTCACTGATAAATTTGATGTCCCTAACAAATTAGTGACGAACTAAGAAGACAAAAAAAAAGATTGACGTTTTAAAAAACTTTTTGCATTGGATCAAGGAAAATATGCAATGTTAAGATACAAAAAATAGTGTAATGAACGGACCAGAAAAGCATGTGTAATATGCACACAGAACTCAACAGCAATACCCACTGACATTACAAGGTTGACAACCGATACAGCATTTAATTGGATATTTAGGATTGCCATTATGCCCTGCAAGATATACATATGTGTCAACACAAAAAATAAGACAAAGAGGTGCATGACAATAGAAATTCCAAAGAAGACAATGTACCATCATATCCACTACGATCATCACCAACACAAGTAAGATAATCGCTGAAGTCCAAAAACTGTATTTACAAATCAATGTTACAACACTAAAGAAAATGCAAAACAAAGCATTGCAACTACAAAAAACAGAGATTACTAAACTCACCTGCATGTGATGGCAAAGCATGCTAAGAATACAGCACCTGCCAAAATTGTGCAGAAAAAAAAGTCAGAAAATACTAGTTTTCACCATATACTAATTATTTGAGTAATGCCTTGAATCTTTTACTTGTCCCCCATCAATTTCAGTATTTCACATTTCAAAATTTGCTCTATAGTAGGTTGACTAGGTTCAAAATAGATGGACTCCAGCATCCCAGAATATTGGAAGGGTGTAATTTTATAAGACTACTAACCAATAGCTATGGAAAGGTTGATTAATGCTGTCCTCCATATATCAAGGTATTGTTCGAAAAATATATAAAATACAGCATATGGGAAGACCTCCACCTGCAAACAAGAACAAACACAACCTTATAGGGTCCAATGTTTTCATGTAGATATGTATTATCAAGTTAATAATTTATGGTTGGGAAAACTACAGAAAAGGTAACAGAATCACCTCAATTTCTTCAAGCTAAAAGGTTGGAATACCCAAAAGTAAATTATTAAGAAATTTAAAAAAAAAAAATATGCATGGAAAAATTATTTCAAGCTACTAGCAAACTCAAATACTATGAATACTAAATTCCAAATGCATATAGTACAGCATCAGAAAACTCACATTTAAAGAATCAGACATTCTAGAAGCAAAACTCCGTGCAGCCCTCATTGAATTAACAAAGTCAATCTAAAATAAAAAATAAATAAATGAGATTTAATCAAGGGACTTGAAATGAAATGAAATGAAAAATTTAAATCCTGCATTGCATACTTGCTTGTTGAGAGGGGTGTGAAATGTACGAAATGCTGATGCTTGAATAACACCAGATTCATAGCCTGACAAAAGCACGGAAGTCAGGCTAGAAGAATCAGAATAGAGAGAGACTAAGGGGGTGTTTAGATTTGATTCTTAAAACTGCTTCTGCTCCTTCAGAGAGCAGAAGCAGAAGTTGGAGTGTTTGGGTAAAAGTGCAGAAGTGATTCTGGTGCTCTAATTTACTCCTAGAATCAGTTTTTTTTAGAAGCCGGGGGTGACCACCTTCTGAAAACTGATTCTGATTCTGCTTCTGCTTTAAAAAAGAAGCAGAATCAGAATCAGTTCCAAACACCCCTTAAATGAAAAATTGATAAGTCGAGTATATTACTCAGTAGCACAACCTTTAAGATCAACATTGTTAGTGTAAGCCCCATTACCACCTTTTGCACAATCATTAGAAGGTAATGCACTCAAGAACCATGGGAGTTTCTCTTTGAATTGTTCAGTTGTTGGGCGGCCATTGTCTAAATCTGATTGAAGAAAGCACTGAACATTCCATGCATCAGTAAAAATCTAGCACAGCATGGTAAATATAGAAATATAGATCATATTTGATAAATAGTCACTCCAACTCTAAAATATAGGTAGAGAAACGAAGAAACATGACGGTCGAGGAAATCTTGAATACCAAAATCCGAAAGGAATGCTTCTTTTCAAATTGAAAGTTGCAGATTATTAAATTATGCATGCAGATGAGTACAAAAAAGAAAACTAGGCAGATAAAATACGAGTATGTATGAACTACCATTGTGCAGTCCTTGCATATGCCCACCCAAGTAGATAATCCACTGCTGAATGAACAAGGAGGCTGAAAGAAAATTGTGAATTACAGTAACATACAAAATTACTGAATAGCATTGAGTTAAATAAAGAGAAAACAGGCGCTTGTAGAAAAAATGAAAAAATGGACACATAGAAGAATATACTAAATGCAAACACCTCCTAGTCTTTGAAAAGTGAAAACAGACGCGAAATTTAAATTTGTTCAAACAATGTATACTTGAAATATTGTTATGCTTCTGCATTTCGTCATATCTACCCTTAGAATGAAAAAGTAACTGCACCTGATCATCAGCTGGGCAAAAACTCCCATTATTAAATTTACGACAGCAGCCAAAAGCTTCTGGGGATATCCAAACCAAAAAATCATCAAGCCAAGATGCAGCTGGTTTAGCTATGTAACTTGATTCGGGAGTTAAAGATGCTCTTGAAATCTGCAGCAATGGGTATCTTAGCAAATGCACTAATTGAGAAACTTTGAATTAATTTACCCCAGAAAAAGGGATCATATAACAGAATCACTTCTAATGCTAATTTAAGTCCTAATGGACATCTTTGGTGTTTGGGTATCAGAGTAAGATCAACCCTTGAGGTCAACAACCTCCATGCAACACAAATCCTTTCCCTAAATCTCATCATGAAGCCTTCCCACTTGGGAAAGCAATGCTACCATGAAGACTACTTGTAAATTGGAAGAAATAGAGAAAGGTATCTCTATTCTGATTTTGTTGTTTCATTCCATATGAGAAGAAGAATAAATATATATGCAGCTAGAGATTCAACCTAAGTAGGAATATAGGAAAGGAATCCTACTAATTAGAGTCTCCTAAGAATAAAGGATATTTAAAGATTTTAAGATCTCTAAGATATCGCCTAATAAATACATTACCAGTGAATCAAAGATATGCAATAACAAGTGTTGAGATTTGATATGATTCTAAGTGAATTCCTTCCTGATTTTAGTATTTATTGTACAGATTGTATCAAATCAGCTATGTTTAAAGAATCAGACGGGACCGGACCGGGCAGTTCGACCCGGATCCCGGCCACCAGGCCCATTATCCGGTCTGGTTAACCTCTAAACCGCTAATATAGCTAAACCCAGAAATAACCGGCGACCCATGTAAACTCGGACCAAGAACCGGCCCAGTCCAGACCCGCAAATCAGCAAAAAACCGTCTGCAAATGTTGCCTGCGGGAATTGAACTCGCGCCTGCGGCCTCTCATATGCCCTCTCTTCCGCTGCACTACACTACTACTTTGTTGTGACAATATATTGCTTTGTCCGTTTTATACCTTTTAAAACCTGCAACTTTTTTACTTAATATTAATTAACTAATTAATTATTTAATTAATAGAACAATCATAATGCATACGAACTTATTCTAGTAATCTACTTCCCAATTATGTATATTGTTAAAAATATTTGTCCCACACCGGAAAGCTATAAAATAATAAAACACTGTATAAGGCTTTGGGCTACTCCTCCTATCAGGTTGACCTTTTCGGATGGAAACCCGGGTCTTAACATGGTATCAGAGCCAATTCCGGTTGTGGTTTGACTGCATGTTTAGCACCCATGATTACGGGTAGCTTGTTAAGGGTTTGTTTGGCCCATTTATACACCCCGATATTGCCCAGCCCGGTTCGGGCTGAGGGGGCGTGTTAAAAGTATTTGTCCAACACCGGAAAGCTATAAAACAATAAAACACTATATAAGGCTTTGGAGCACTCTTCCTATCAGGTTGACCTTTTAGGATGGAAACCCGGGTCTTAACATATATCATCTTCCAAATATATTTGTTTAGTATTTTTTATTTTTTTTTGTAATTGAGGTTATGTTCATTTTTGTTATTCATATAATTTTAATTGTATTTTAGCCTTTGATAAAACCAATACATTAGTTTTTTATTTTTCAGATACTGTATTTTCAATTTTAAATTATGAGGTAATATAAATTTTTTATTTATTAATTGAATGTTTTATATAATTATATACATATATATACAATTATTAGTGTTGACCGGGCTGACCCGCCGGGTCAGGCTGACCCGTGATCCTGTCATTTGTCCGTGTAACTTCCCGGTCCGGTTCTTTAAACATAGCAAATCAGTAGTTAGTAATTGATTGATGTACATATGATTCTTTCCTTATAATTTTGAACCTTATAAATAATGATCAGGTGAGAGTAGTTTCTCTGAAGCAAACTCATTCAAATCAGTAAATTCAAGTTAGTATCAGAGCCTGATCCTCACTTATCCTAGTCATCCATGCAACCAATCTTCATCGAGACTAGTCTACTGATGCATTCATAGAGCGTCAATATCATCGTAAAAGAAAGAAAGATAAAGATCAGCAAATCACACAGATAAATAAAATCAAACAAATCTGGGAGACAAATAAATCAGACAAATCTGATAAACCTGTCACAGTCAGGGATTTGAGATCCTTAGAGATCTGAGATATTATTTTTTGATTGCAATCTTTGAATTATTGTTTTCTTTTTAGTTGTTTTCTTTAGTTTATTTTCCAAACTCTGTAAACCCTATTTAAAGGCCATTTGAATGCAAGGAAAAGCATGCAAGTTTATAGCAACAAAAGTCTAAGGGAGTTTCTGGAATTCTCAATAAAAATTCCAACTTGTGATAAAAGTGCATAATTATATTCTTCCTAGTTTTCTGCCAAACAGTAAACATAGCCAACCCTTCCAAAGATCGGTCTATCCTCCCACTCACCCGAAGGCCTGTGACGAGATCTTGCACACAAGTTGCCCATAATATTGGTTTCGTTGCCGGCGTCATGGGCGATGGGCTGTTTGCATCAAAGGAAGAAGTCTCCAATCTGAAAGAATCCATAGATCGCCTTGAACAAATGATGGAAAAATTAGTTACAGACGGAGGTAAAACTGCAACAGAGGTGTCCAATGCTGATCTGGTAGTGGTACATGCACCCGACAACATGAATCACATGGCTACTACTCATGGATCACATTTTGAGTTTCCCCTTTTCTCTGGCACGGAAGATCCACTCAGTTGGCTTTACCGCTGCGAGTTATTCTTCATGAATCAGAACGTTCCCCCTGTCAAACGAGTCTCTATGGCTGCTTACTATCTCACTGGAGATGCTCAGTTGTGGTATCATCATCTATGTCAAGACCAGCCCCATATTTCTTGGGAAACTTTTCGAGATTACCGCACTCACAAATATGGTCCCCCTGGTGGTGCAAATCCATTAGGCGATTTGACAAATCTAAAACAACAAAGCCGTCCAATTGAGGAGTGTGAACTATATGAACTGTATTTCATTATAATGAATCTTGATGTAAAGAACTATACAAGTTGCTATATTTATAGCAAAAACTAGAGCACTAGGGTTACTAAACAAGACGGGCTAAGCCCAACACAACTAGGGTTTCAACACTCCCCCTCGAACTGGAGCATATAAATTACATGCACCAAGTTTGTTACAAATATATTGCATCTTAGGTCCTCTAAGAGACTTGGTTAAAACAACTGCAAGTTGATCTGTTGTATTGACATAATGAGTAGTAATATGTCCATTTGTGATTTTTTGTCGAATAAAGTGACAATCAACTTCAATGTGTTTAGTCCTCTCATGATACACGGGATTTGAAGCAATGTGCATTGCAGCTTGATTATCACACATTAGTTTAACAGGTTTCATGCTTCCGTATTTTAATTCTTGGAGGAGATGCTTCAACCATAATATCTCACATGAAGCAAGGGCCATTGCATGGTATTCTGCTTCAGCACTAGACCTGGCAACCACATCATGTTTCTTACTTTTCCAAGAAATTAAATTCCCACCAATCAAAATGCAATATCCAGAAGTAGAACGTCTATCCATTGGATATCCAACCCAATCTGCATCACAATACCCAACAATGTCATGGTGCCCTCGATCTTCAAAGAGTAATTCTTGTCCTGGAGTTTTCTTGATGTATCTCAAGACTCGGATAGCTGCGTCCCAATGTCCATCACATGGCTTATCAAGAAATTGACTAAGCACACTGACATCAAATGAAATATCTGGTCTTGTGATGGTAAGATAGTTCAACTTCCCAATAAGCCTTCTATATCTCTCTTTATTGGGCAGGAGGTCACCTTGTTTTGACACGAGTTTGATGTTTGGATCCATTGATGTATCCACTGGCCTACAATCCAACATACCTGCTTCCTCAAGAATATCCAATTCCAACACTGTGAGAGCACAATTCCATTTCTTGATTGGGCAACCTCAATACCAAGAAAGTACTTTAGTTTTCCCAAGTCTTTTGTTTGAAATTTGCTAAAAAGATATTCCTTGAGTTGGGCAATTCCTTGGTCATTTAATCACAATGTCATCAACATATACAACAAGAAAGATACATTTATTGCCTGCAGAATATCTATAGAATATGGAATGATCTACATCACTCCGAGTCATGCCAAAACCACGAACAACAACAACAACAAATCTCCCAAACCATGCACGCGGGGATTGTTTCAGGCCATATAAAGAACGACGTAATCTGCAAACCAAACCAGACCCCCCCGAGCAACAAAACCAGGTGGTTTCTCCATAAAAACCTCCTCATGTAAATCACCATGGAGAAATGCATTTTTAATATCCAATTGAAACAATGGCCAGTGGCTCAATGCTGCCATGGATAAAATCAGAGGAACAGATGCAATCTTTGCAACAGGAGAAAAAGTGTCAGTGTAGTCTAATCCATAGATTTGTGTATACCCCTTTGCAACCAGACGTGCTTTAAGATGATCAATGTTGCCATCTGGTCCTACTTTGATTGTGTATATCCAGCGGCACCCAACAACTGAATTCCCAATAGGAAGGGGAACCAAGTCCCATGTCCCACTAGAATGTAAGGCCTCCATTTCAGCTAACATAGCTCGACACCACTCTAGGTGTGATAATGCCTCATGTGTGGTTTTAGAAATACAGACACCAGATAAATGTGAAGTGAAGGCAAAGTAAGGGGTGGAGAGGCGATGATAACTTAAAAAGTTATAAATGGGATGAGGATTCAAAGTTGAGTGTGTACCTTTGCGGAGGGCTATGGGCAAATCATCATGATTGTTCTCTGACACTTGGGTAGCTGACTGTGCTGGTGTGGGATCCACAGTAGGGGAATCAACAGGCGTGACTTCAGAGGACTCATTGGGTGGAGGGTGAGGGCGTCATTAATACACTTGTAAAGGATGGGTTGTTGTTGGAGATGGGTCGATAGGAGCATCGGTAAGGGGGAATGGAGATGGGTCTGAAATATGAAAGAAAGTCGACACAGGAAGGGGTATCATGGAGGGGAGAGGGGTAATAAAATGAGGACTCAAGGAAAATGACGTCAGCGAACACAAAATGTTTTCTAAGTACTGGGGAATTACAACGATACCCCTTTCGAAGTCGGGAATATCCA